TATGCCATCAATGTGCTCGCATGTTACGGTCACTCGTCCATATGCTTGCGTGATCAGAGCGTTCCCAGGTGTAGGGAGCTCGCGTCCCTCCTCTCCTCCCTCCAGCTTCCCTGGGTTGTTGCAGTTGGCTGGAATTCCACCCCGTCTTCGTTCGCTCGGACTGGGTTCCTTGACAGGATAGGGGGCCATGTCCGTTGTTGCGAAGCTGGTTTCGCATTTACCCCTGGGTGGGGATATCATACCATCTCGTTTCGATTAGTTAGTTCTTAGCGCGGCTGCGAGGCCTTACGTGCGTGCTGTGCGCGCCGTGCGTGATGTACCCTGGCGTCCACACATTGGCCCCCATGTAGATCTCGTAAGGGAGGCCAGCCAACTCTTCGCAATAATGTTGGAACTAGCACCCAGGCTCCTCATAGCGGCCAGGCCTGGTCAGCAAGCGATCGAAGGCTCGAAGTCAAGCTTGAGCAACGCCAAGCGGGACAGCTCTAAGAAGTTGGCGCTAGAGAAGCGCAGCGCTCGCATTCAGGGGCGGTTCGGCGAGGCCCTTGCCATCGAGAAGGCTGAGAGCCAGAGCGAAGGCGAAGGAGGGTCCGAAGAGGAGGTCGCGTCTCACAGATCGCTCGACGAGGGCGACGGCCTGGGCGACGACTTCGACTGCGACCCTTGGGCCAACGAGCCCAACCTCGGCACCTCCGAGCCCGCCGCCCCGCAGCTCTCTGTGGGTCAGCAGCAGCATGAACGTAGTCAGCCTCAGCCGCCTGAGCACGTTGATTCAACCCCGTGTGAACCCCCCGAGAGCCCCGCCCAGCCTGGGGGTCGCTCGCAGGACCAGGCCAGGCCCCCTCTGTCACGGTGAGCTCAGGGCCCCCTGGCACCCCTGGCTCCGTAAGCTTTGATCCCACGCGCGAAGAGTGGGTCCAGGCCGAGAAGAAAATCGGGTTCTCTCCGAACTCGCCCTGTCTCCCTGCCCCTGCCGTTGCAGCCCCCGTAGCATTTAGGCTCGGGTCCCTTTCGGAAGCCTCTCCACACATCAGTCCTTTTATATTGCAGTTGGATAAGATCGGTCGAGAGTGCCATTGACAAGCACCGCGATCAGATCGAGCCCTTAGTCAGTCGAGGTCAGGCTGTGCAGTTTCTTGTGCGCGAGGTCCACCAGCCCAAGTCGCAAAGAGTGACTCCATTACGCGACGAAGTTGCAGGCTGGTGGACCCGAGTATCCAACATATTACATTCACTCCAGAGTCATCGTCGGCGGCACAACGGTGACAAGCAGGTTCAGATTCTGCTGGCTGCGCTCAAGAGCTTAGGGTTGCAATGTCCAGACAAGGCCCATCGTGTCTTGCGACGCGGGGGCCCGTGCAAGCGGGCGCAGTGGCGACGGCAGCTCGAGAAAGTTTCAGACCTGAGCGACGACGAGCTATCCCGACAGGTTGAGTTTACCACGAGGTTAGCACGGCGCAGTCAGAAGAGAGCGATTCAGACGTCGCTCAACGAGTCCCGTGAATGTGCAGAGTCGGCGCCGGCTGTGGGCGCACTCCATCGTGCGATCAATGGAGCACCGATTCCCTCTGATAGCTGCCTCGACTACGACAGACTCCCCGACGTGGCAATCAGCGAGCTGGCGGGCATAACTACCCTCTGTGAGCTGCACCAGGTGTGGCCTCATCAGGTGCTCCTCACCTTGGGCACCCTCCTGCCCAAGAAGGTGGCCCGGGACCGCGTGATAGGCCCCCTGTCGCACTTGGCGCGCACGTGGTCCCAGGCCCGCGAGGAGCACGTCCGCACCTGGACAGATCGGTGCGAGGCGCACTGGGGCGCGGCGGTGCGAGGCAACGCCGCGCTTCGGGAAGTTTTTCTTCGGTCGGTCGACGAAGAACTTGCAGTGCGTCTGGGCGCTTCCATTGGCAATAATATGATCGATAACGCAAGTGTTGTATGATACTGTTGGCTGGTATCGCATGGCGAAGGCTGTCTTGCGACTGGAGTTCCCAGCTGAAGTATTAGGGCTCGAACTCCAGCAATGCATGGCAGCACGATGCGCGAGACAAGGTGGAGCGCACGGGCCGCCTTTGAGTCCGTCGCGCTCCATAGTGCAAGGACTGAAGTCAGGAACGCGGTCCGGTAAATGTGCGACTTTCCATATTTTGCAGCGCATCACGACATGCCACGTCAATTGTCCCATCGACTTTGGTTGGACGACTTCAGTCAGACAGCCAAAGGGTCACGGTGTGCGGTCAGGAATCGTCTCGTCGCTTGTGCAGTGGACACATGCCGTGAACTCACACATGTTGGTCTGAAAGTTTCTCACAAACCGGTGACAGTTTGCAGGCATTTGGCAGACGCGAGAGCAGTAGTCAGACGAGTAACTGCGCAGGGCTTTCATGTGAAGGCAGCCAGCCAAGCCGCCGACCTGGGGGCTGATCTTGCAGGTGGCAGACGGCACGGTCGTGCCACCAGGTGAACGTAACGAGGGCGCACAAACATACAGCCATGTCCAAGAAGATCGTTGGTTTCGCAAGTGCGCTACGTCGATACCGTGTCCCAGCACGCTTGAAGCTCCAGGGCGCCCAGCCTGCAGGGCTATATGGGTACCAGCTACACGTCTGGGGCAGCCAGATGCAGCAGGTCAGGAGGAAGCTAGCCAACTCGGTTGGGCCACGCCTCACAGGCCACTGCGTGACCACACTTCTGGATTTGAAGGCAGCTGATCGAGATCCACAGGACAAGTTACCATGTGACACGTTACGGATGTGGCTCGCCATGTGAAGCTCCCAGCCAGCACTGAAGGCAGGCATTTCTCGTACATGGGCTGATGTGGTTGCGGATCTTTCGGCCGCGCCAACAGCTGTTCGGTGTCGCCACACTGGAGGACCACAAGGCACGACCATCGCATACCTTCTGGGTGCTGGGTGGAAGCCTGATTTGCCGAGTGCCTGGACCACGCCCGACGGCGCCTCCGAGTGGCAGTGCAATGTGGCGAACATGACGGGCCATCCTGTGCTCGATGTACAAGAGGCTTTCTTCACCGAGTTTCGCACGACGATCGAGGCGCACTTGTGGGAGGCAGCCGCCCGTCATTTTGGAGGCACAAGCGTGGAACGAGGAGTCTGCAACCACTCCGACCGCTTTCTGCTGCAGCAGCTGGAGGCGGCGCCAAGCGGGGGGGAAACGGCTCGCGGAGCTGCTCCTCGCCGCCGCCACGGGAGCGGCCTGGCCCCGAGCACGGCGGCAGACCCGCTGCCGACAGACACGTGATGTGAAGTGCCCTCGGTGCCGCCTCGAGCCCGAGACCAACTTCCATCGAGTTTGGGGTTGTAGTTTTAAGTCAGAACATCCGTTGTACAAGCTTAGCGAAGACCTAGTAGCTAAAGCACACACGCAAGGAGATGCCGAATCATGTTTTTGGACTAGTCCGCGGATTAATACCTAGGCCATGGGTGCATGTAGGAGCCCCCCCAGCTGAAGCTGAGCAGTGGGTACACTCCAACAACCTCGATCTTGAGGTGGCGGCTCAGGGTTCCAGGGGGAGGCCAGTTTTTAGTTTCGGGGGCACCAGCGGAGGAGCGGACACTCACCACCCCCTCATGCGTCGTGTGGGCCTAGGGCTCGCTGCCTCTCAGGACGTCAGTGGCATGGCTTGAACTCTAGGACGGTGGAGCCCCCTCCCAGGCAGCAGGCAGACTGTGGCTAGGGGGGAACTCTACTGTCTTCTCGTGCCCCCCCCCGTACGGCATCAAGAGAGATTGCGTACGTCACGGACAATGGTACCGTGAGCGCGGGATGGTATCCGAGACGTTGGCCGCACCCCTCAGGGCCCGATGCAGATCTCTGGTGGCTCGTAGGTCAGTGTTTACAGCAGCGTGCGGGGAATATCACTTGTTCTGTCCTCTCTGTCCACCCCCACCTTGAGGGTGAGCACATTGTGCAAAGGAACCGCCCCTCGCAATCTAGTCATAGGTAAAACGTATGCTGATTGTTTCGCAGCAGCAGGGGCAGCCATTGGCCGCCTGCCAGAGTCGACTCGTGCACGCTTTCATTTATTGAGCAGCAGGCTTTCGCAGTTCGTATGCGCATCCTCTTGAGCACCCTTGAGGCCCTCCAAGCCGAGGAAAGACTCGATGCGAACGATGGGGGCAAGCGTAGGCGTAGGCGTCAGCTGAATGCTTCTTCAGTTGTCAGGCCTCCAGCGGCCAGTGTGTGTGTGTGCCACGTTTTCGACCCAGCACTGTCTCAAGGAAAACTCCAGCAGCTGTTCCAGGTGTCAGGGTTTTGCTTCCCAAGCTCGTAAAACCGAGTGGCTGAGCTCACCTTGTTTTCCCGTAATTAATGTGGACGGCGTCGTAAGGCGACCCCCCCTGGCATGCGGGTGCACATCTCGGGGGATATGCTCACACATCACACGTCCTCAGGTATCACATGGGGTTGGGCCTCTGGTTTTGCACTGCTTGCGGTTGTTATGCATCACCACAACTCAAGCAACTAGGAGCAGAATGTAGTGAGGCGGTCAACGGTAACAGAAGGGAGTACCTTGACATAATCACCCGTGGGCTCTGGCCGAAAGCTCGCAGCAAAGACGAGCTGGCCAGAGGGACGCAGCAGAGTATGTAACTGCTTCAATCGTTACCGACATTGTCGCCATAACCAGAAATCCAGAACTCCTCCTCCTCCTCCTCATCCTGCTCCTGCTCCTGCTCCTCCTCTTCCTGCTTCTCCTCCTCCTCCCCCGTCCCCCACGAGCATTACTCCTTCCCTCCTCTTCCCCGTCCCTCCTTCCCGCTAGGGTTCCGAGGTGTTCAGACTGCCCCCCCAGACCCCCGACGTCCAAGCAGCTTTTCATCCCGAGTCGTTGCGTTGACGGTCCTGTGACCCAGCGAGAGCCCCGTAGGCAGAATGACAAAAACATCCCGTAGCGAGTTTTCCATGATGCCAGGGGGTCTGGGTCCCCCCCATCACCCCAGCGGAGGGTCGTCGCCGTCTTCGTCACTGGGTTGAGGGCGCGCCTTGGCTCTGTCGGAGGCACTGCCGAAGGGCGAGCCGAAGTCCGCCTGGAGCCCGCCGAGCAGCTCTGTGTTTTGCCGCGGAGGAGACGGACTCTCACTCCAGTCCTTCAGTGTAAACCTACACCAGGCACGGGACAAACTCGGATCGGTACATCGGGGATCTCTCCGATCTCGGGCCCCAATTGCCATCAAAAGATTGCCCTGGGCGCAACACTGAACCCGGGAGTGGGGTCTGTAGGTCTGATGGCTGACGTTGAGAAGATAAGTCACGACGTCGCACGGTGTGGGAGGAAGAGCAAGGGAGGATGAGAACGAGGAGGGCCGCGAAAGAGGGGGAGGGAGAAAGAGCAAGGTCAACATAGGCCCACCACCCCAACCCTTCCTATCCAGGTAAACTGGCAAACATGCGTGGAAAAGCTGCCTCGCATGGCCAAAGATGAGGAAGCCAGCCCGGGGGAATGTGTCGAGGCCTCCGGGGGAACGTCGCTCAAGGCCCGCCTCGCGCTCGCTGCCTCACTGCTCGCGCGAGTTCGGTGGCAACTCACAGGAGCCTCACATTCCATCTTGTTGGCTCTTGCGGGTCGAAGCGAGCCGACGCTAAATTGACGCTAGTCGACGCACGTCGACGCTGAATCAGCGCTATCGCATCGATTACCAGACGCCAGCCGACGCTGTTGTACTCTAAAGGCGGCATGGCGAGGGTATCCAAAGCACGAAGCACGAAGCACGCCCGCACATGGGCACCGTCTAGGGTGCTGCGGGTGCGGCGCCGGAGCGCCGGAGCAGGTGATGCCCGTGAAGCTGAAGATCATGCCCTTGAGGCTGGAAGTCGAAAGCTGGAGGCGGAAGCCTGGATGGTGGTAACTGGCGGTGGTTGCTGTGAGTCTGAAGCTGAAGGCTGGGGGTCGGCCGCACGATGCGAGAGGTCGATCGGTGGAGGTCGAAAGCTGGAGGTGGAAAGTTGGATATTGTCAGTCGTCGGTGGATGGTGGGAGTCGGAAGTTGGACGCTGAATTTCGGTCAGTGAGATGATGTATACAAAACTCCCGTGGATTTATTGTGTTCGTCGCGATCGCCAGCGTGATCCGGTTAGAGCGGAAGGGGGCGGGGGATGCCCTGGGGCGTTACGTAATGGGGGGGGAAGGGGTCGGGGTGGGAGGAGGGGGGGCAACACAAGCGTGATGGCCCAGAGGGGTAAAGAAACCCTCTCCATGATTTAGGGTACCGCTGCTCTCGGGGATGTCCTGACCCGGGTCAATCCAGACCCGGTTCAGTCGGGCCTTGCAAGATCCTGCAGGATCCTGCAAGATCCTGCACCCAAACCCGGGTCGATGCGAAGGATTCTGCAAGATCCTGCTCAATGCGACCCTGGCCCTGCAAGATCCTGCAGGATCGGGCACTCTGGCTGGCCCCCGCTTGCACTGACCCCCGTCTCGAGGCTCCCGCTGCTCCTCGGACCTCTCCCGCCGGGGTGCGTTCGGACCGGGATCTCGGGGCGACTCCAGCGGCGGCGACGAGGGCCTCCCGGGCCCGGAGCGAGGAGCACGAGGGAAGGGTGGTGGCGTCGGTCGGGTGGATCGGTACCCTTTGCCTCCTCTGGGAGTGGGCACAAGAGCTGGCAGCGTGCACAAGGAGGTGTGGGGGAGGGGGGAAGGCTTCTCAGAAGCAGAGGTGTTCCTTCCGCCCTGCATCTGCACACAGGGGCCGCGCCTTCTAAGAAGCAGGGGTGCGTCAAAGAAACCATCCCCCCTTCCCCCCACCCCCCCTCTGAGCGTTGCCAAAAAAGGGCGCCCACCCTGCTGGACGACTTGAACGCGTCGGGCGGGTGGTCCAGGGGCACCCCGAGCATGGAGGGCGGGCGGTGCGGCTGGCCGGAGTAGGACGCGCCCCTGCCTCGGGCGGCACCGGCGGCGAGTGCGAGGGACGCTGAGCAGAAGCGACAACGATGGACGACGACGCCGCCGCCGCCGCCGCCGACGACGACTTGAGGCCTCCGAGGGCCCGCTTTCTGCAGCCCTCGCTGCCCGCCCAATTTCTCGCCCCCCCCATCACGCGACGCCCAAGTGTCGACGATGAAACACGATGATACTTCCGGGGTCTCTGTTGATGACACTTAAGCGAAGACGCCCGATGTGCGGGCATACGGTTGAGTCGGGCATGTCCCTCTACAGGCGGATTTTGGACGAAAGCTTAAACATACCCAGACGAATCCGCCGACCCTGTCGGCGTGTGTGAGGGGCTTCTCCGTTCGACTCGTCGTCTCCGTCGTCTCCGTTTTCCCCCTCCCAGGGCTCTCCTCCTCAAGCGCGCTACCCAAAGCGAAATTAAACGACGTCCTAGTGGAGTCGAAGGGAAGCCCCTTCCCTTTGATCCCTTCCCCGCAGGGGGGTGGGGGGGGAGGGGGGGGGGGTCCCGGGGCAAATACGACGCCCGCCGGGGCGCACTTTCCTCGAGCGGGCACGCACGGGATGCACTTCCTCCTCCTCCTGGTCCTCCTCCTCCTCCTCCTCCTTTCCTCCTCCTCCTCCTCCTCCTGCTCCTCTCCTCCTTCTCCTCCTCCTCCTCCTCCTCCTCCTCCTCCTCCTCCTCCTCCCGCAGAGGCGTCCCGGGAGCGGGCCCCGAGTCAAAATACCACCCCCCTAGGGCGCATTTTCCTCGAGCGGGCACGCCCGAGATGCACTTCTTCCTCTTCCGGGAGCACGTCCCAAGTCAGAATATCACACTCCCGGGGCGCACTTTCTTCGAGCGGGCACACAAAGGATGCACTTCCTCCTCCTCCTCCTCCTCCTCCTCCTCCTCCTCCTCCTCCCTCCTCCTCCTCCTCTCCTCCTCCTCCTCCTCCTCCTCCTCCTCCTCCTCCTCCTCCTCCTCCTCCTCCTCCTCCTCCTCCTCCTCCTCCTGCTCCTCCTCCTCCTCCTCCTGCTCCTCCTCCTCCTCCTCTCCTCCTCCTCCTCCTCCTCTCCTCCTCCTCCTCCTCCTCCTCCTCCCCCTCCTCCTCCTCCTCCTCCTCCTCCTCCTCCTCCTCCTCCTCCTCCTCCTCTCTTCCTCCTCCTCCTCCTCCTCCTCCTCCTCCTCCTCCTCCTCCTCCTCCTCCTCCTCCTCCTCCTCCGCCTCCTCCTCCTCCTCCCCCCTCCTCCTCCCCCTCCTCCTCCTCCTCCTCCTCCTCCTCCTCTCCTCCTCCTCCTCCTCCTCCTCCTCCTCCTCCTCCTCCTCTCCTCCCTCCTCCTCGTCCTCCTCCTCCTCCCTCCTCCTCCTCCTCCTCTTCCTCCTCCTCCCCCCCTCCCCTCCTCCTCCTCCTCCTCCTCCTCCTCCTCCTCCTCCTCCTCCTCCTCCTCCTCCTCCTCCTCCCACTCCTAGCCCTTTCGATCAGGGTCGGCGGCACCGGCCGTCAGGCCTCTCCAATATTCAACACATGGTAAAACCCCAAATATCGTCCCCTGACTATTGTGTGTCTATTGATGTATACTCCTCCTGTAAAGGGACAGGCCCGACAAAAGCATACGGGCACATCCAGAACACAAACAACATAAACAGATTCTTGCGGAGGTACGAATGGACCTTGCGGGTCGGCGCGGACTCTGGGCGCGCAGTGCGCAACCGTGTGGGCGCCGGAGGCGCCGCCAGCAGAGGTCCATCGCCGACCCATTATGGAATCTGCGGGGGGTGCAGAAAATATCAGAGTGAGGGGGCTGAACCGAACGGTCATTCACTGACCCTGGGTCTGTGGCTGAAGTGGAATTGCGCGATGCGGATTATTGTTGTTGTTGTTGCTGTTGTTGTTGTCGTCGTTGTCGTTGTCGTTGTCGTCGTTGTCGTTGTCGTTGTTGTTGTTGCTGTCGTTGTTGTTGTTTGTTGTTTGTTGTTCTCTGTGTTGTTTGTTGTTTGTTGTGTGTTGTTTGTTGTTTGTTTGTTGCTTCTTGTTTGTTGTCGCCGTCCCGCCCGCGACCCGCCCCGCGACGCACCCCGCGACCCACCCGCGACCCACCCGCGACCCACCCCGCGACCCACCCGCGATCCACCCCGCGACCAACCCGTGACCCACCCGCGACCCACCCGCGACCCACCCCGCGACACTCCCGCGACCCACCCCGAGACCTCCCTGGCGACCCACCCGCGACCCCCCGGCGATCCGCCCCGCGACCCACCCGCGACCCACCCCGCGACCCAACCGCGACCCACACGCGACCCACCCGCGACACACCCCGCGACACACCCAAAACGTTCGGCGCCTGCGGCGGGTTTCTTTTGCATTCGTTCCAAGTAGAGAACCTGCGACCCACCCGCGACCCAAACCGCGATCAGTGTACGAATAAAAATGTTCGGCGCCTGCGGCGGGCTGTTTTTGAATTCCTTCCAGGTGGAGGTGGAGAGCTCGCGACACACCCGCGACCAAAACTACGTTCACTGAACAAACCAAAAGTTCGGCGCCTGCGGCGGGCTGATTTTGCATTCGTCCCGGGTGGCCCACCAGCGATCCCCCCCGCGCTGAACTTGTCAGAGCATGCAAATCACGAGAAAGAGAAGGAGGAGCAGGAGGAGGAGGAGGAGGAGGAGGAGGAGGAGGAGGAGGAGGAGGGCGCCATGGACAGGGAATGTGAAGGCCACGAGGTCCGCCGGCTCGACGCCCGCGTCGCCCGCGCCCGCCCCCTCACTCTTATCCGCAATTGCGGGGTGCTACGTAATTGGTTGTGCCTGTGTTTCACGCCTAGGGACCAACAATTATTCACTGCGTGGAGCTCCCCATAGGTGCATCTATTTGCATGGACATTTCCGCTGCGAGTGTCAGGCGCAAGAGACTTCTAACTATAGACGGGTCTGAATTTTCATAGACTGGGAGCGAGTCTCAGTGGAACGAATGAATATGTGCGCATGAGCCTGGAGCCCCCTGGGGTCTCCTGAAACCTCCTGGGGCTTCCTGGGGCCTCCTGGAGCCTCTCGGGGCCTTCTGGGGCCTCGTGGGGCTTCCTGTGACCTCCTGAGACCTCCTGGGGCCTCGTGTGGCCTCCTGGGGCCGCCTGGAGCCTCCTGGGGCCTCCTGGGGAAGGTTCGTGCCCCAGGAGAAGCCCAACATATAGGAACAGACGTACCCAAAACACTGCGGACCGTAGCCGCACGAGAAGGGCAACACATAGGAACACACGTACATCACCAAGGACTCTTGCCCCAGGGGGGGTGTAATCTAGTGTAATCTATAGGGACACACGTAAAACACGTAGGATTGGATACACATGAGAAAGACACTAGATATATATATATATATACACATATATATATATATAGAAACATGCGTGAAACACCGAGGATCCGTGCTCCAACACAATCTACAAGAACACACGTGCAACGCATGGGATTGGAGCCACTCCCGTGACCTTCTGAGGCCTCCTGCTCCTGGGACCTCTTAGGGCCTCCTGGTGCCTTCCAGGGCCTCCTGGTGCCTCCTGGCGCTTCCTGTTGCCTCATGGGGCCTCTTGTGGCTTCCTGTGGCCTTCTGGAGCGTCCTGTGGCCTCCTGGAGCCTCCTGAGGCCTCCTGCAGCTTCCTCGGACATCCTCGAGCCTCTTGGGGCATCCTGTGGCCTCTTGAGTCTTCCTGTGGCCTCCTGGTGCCTCCTGGGACCTCCTGTTGCCTCCTGGGTCCTCCTGGAGCCTGCTGGAGCCTCCTGTGGCATCCTGGGGAGGAGCCGCGCCCACGCGCCTGGCCACCAAAGCAGGCAAACCGATCAAGACATCCTCAACATCTGGCCCCACCTGGGGGCGAAACTGAACGCCTCGCTCGAGGCATCCTCCAAATCTGCCCCGAAAGCGGAGGATGTTGAGCTGGTGAACAAGCAAACCGCTCGAGACATCCCCGCCATGTCGGCGCGAACGGAGACCGTGAGATACCCCTGGCGCCCCCCCCGTAGAATCGGCAGACCGATCGAGACATCCTCAAAATCTGAGCCCACTTGGGGGCGAAACTGAACGCCTCGCTCGAGACATCCTCCAAATCTGCCCCGAATGCGGAGGATGTTGAACTGGTGAACAAGCAAACCGCTCGAGACATCTCCGCCATGTTGGCGCGAACGGAGGCCGTGAGAGACCCCTGGCGGCCCCCTCTTAGGAGTGCGAGAATCAGCAAACAGCCTGAGACATCCTCAGGATCTGCTCAGAGCGCAGACGAGTCTGGCCACCAAAACAGCAAACTGCTCGAGACGTCCATGCAATCCGGCCCCCTCCTGTCATCAGCACCGTCATCATCATCATCATCATCATCATCATCATCATCATCATCATCATCAACATCAACAGTAGCAATGGCAGCATCAACATCACCGGCATCACCATCATCATACCATAACGTAACATGGCATATCATAACGTAAACACGCATACCACAAACTACCATGGCATCACATAACACAATATTTCATGCCATGTAATATCATACCATAACATACCATACCAGCCCATAGTATAACATATCATAACATGCAATACCATACAATAGCATAAGGGCGGAGTGGAAAGGAGGAGGGTATGTGGGAGGTAGGTCCGCGCGGTCACAGTAATAACAAGGACCCCATCCTTTGGAGAACTATGGGAAATGAGGTCCAGGCAACAGAAAAGGGAAACGCAGGTGGGGTGCATGCGAGTGCCACGCGTAAATACCCTGACAAGGAGGCGCAGGGAAAGCTAGGGCGGGGGGAAGGGGGGGAAGGGGGGTGGTACGCCACGAACCACCAAGACAAATGTAAAGAGTTTCTGGCCGGGGGGAGGGGCACACTGTAGGGATGGCATGGGTTAGGCTCGGCAATAACGACTACAGGCGGTCCACCGCCATATCGGGCGAAGAAACTCAAACTCAAAAACAATTTCAACAAACCTCTAAGCCAAAACCTGCGGAAATCTCAAACTC